CACTCGCCGAAGACATCTTTTAGCAGAATAAGGGAAAGAGAATACTAATCAAGGGCCCCTAAAGCCGCTAACACTAGATCTAAAGCTGAAATAGCGGAGAATGCTAAAGAAACGAGGAACTGATGAAGAACTAACCTTGGGAGTGGGGTTTGATCGAAAGAAACGCCTTCTCTCACTAGGAAATTTGGCAGAGCTTCGCTAGAGTATATGAATGCGCAAGACAAATGGTTTCCGGCTTGGGGTATTTATAGGCTCCCCAACCACGGTTAACCTCGAAGCATGGGCCTCCGGTTAAAAGCCCATCATTACATGCCGCCTCATCGCCCAATGGGTGGTAGCCGCCCGCCTTCAGCCAACGAGGACACGCCACGTCAACCCCTCTCCCAACGGCTATATTACAACGACTATATTTCGGCAACACTGGGGTGCCCCCGAATGATAGCCTCCGGTTATCACTCACCGCAGCCTTCAGGCAACGAATTCCACCAAACGCCTTCGAGCCCGTAGCAGCATAAGCCTTCGGCTTATCAATGTTACCACCCCTCGGGGGCTCATCAACTCATCATAACTCCTTCAGCCCGAACTCGCCTTCGGCCTAAAGGAGTGGGGGACTGGGACACATCCCTCGGGAATCATACAGGACAAAAAAATCCTCATGCAAAGATTTACAATTGACGCATGTAGCCTCCTGGTGAACATCAAAACAGAAACCTTCGGGTACATACTTCAACACACCCTTCGGCAGAGGCAGAGTATTAAAATTTTTCCCCAAGTCGCTTGCGGAAGTGAAGCAGCCCTCATCACAACACATGCAGGCAATACATCTATGCTTTCCTCAGAAAACCCTCGACATGTGAGGGACTAAGGAAAGCCTTCTGCAGTCATACAGGTGTTATACTTCCCTCAGAAAACCCTCGACATGTGGGGGACTGAGGGAAGCCTCCGGCAATCAGCAGAAGGCAAGTTCTCCAGAAAAGGCACCCAATGAAATGATAAAGCCCCCAGAAGAATCAAAACAACTACTCCTTTTCCCTCAAGTACCTTTCGGCAAAAGGAGTGAGGGACTCCTGATGGAGTATATGGTCCAGGAACCCCCGGCCCATAGACCCCTACTTCTCCTACACAAGTCCATTGAGCCCAGGAAACAACTCAGGCCCAAATACAACGGCCCAAGCCTCAAAGTATCTCAGAATACACACTGGGATGCCTTCGGCCTCCTTGACCGAAGGCTCCAAAACTCACAGGATAGCCTTCTCTGGCATAAGAAGCTACTGGGAGAAAGCGGCGAAAAACATGAGCCTTCGGCACTATCAAGCCCTCGGCACCGGAGGGGCCTCCGGCTGAACCAAGCCTTCGGTCACACAAACGCCTTCGGCTACACAGGGGTCCTTGGTTACATGGAGCCCTCGGCTACACAAGGAGCCTTCGGCCAAACATGTTCAATCATCGAAGATTCCTTTTAGAGACAGCCAACCACCGCATTTAATGCCACGTCACATCCTCCAACCGCAATCAATGCGGTGGACGTACCACTGCCGGTGCCAACCGGCTGATGTGACCCTTCGGCCGTTGGATTACTGACACGTGTCCTCTCGTCGCATTTATTGCTGCTATAAATAGCAGCCCATTTCTCCTTGTAAATCATGATCTACATCTCAACTCCACATCTCGAGTTCATTTAATAAAATCGACTCTCTCTCCTCCTATTTACTCTGACTTCTCTCTAGTTATTCCCGCAATAACCCCTCGGATAAGATACCCCCCGGGTGGACAATCCATCAGATATATAATAAAAGTAGTTTGCTTATACTTATCATTAAAAGTGGTTTGTTTAAGAGATTAATGAAAACGTGATATATAATAAAAGTAGACAGTATTTGTAAATAGAAGAGATTTTAACTACAAAGTAAAAGTTGAAGTGTTTAATAGAAAAGTGGTTTTTGATGAAATAATGTGTTGAAGTATAAATATACCCTTCTATAAAGTGCATAAGAATACTCTGTAAGAAATTACATATCGATCTTCTTCCAATTTTATATGTTTCAAACTATTGTGGATGTATTGGAAGACCAGTAGACTAGCAGCAGGTACCACTGGACTAGCACTTTGAATGTTGTTATTTTTTTATTGCCGTATACTTGCTTTTACTTCAAATAAAAAAACTGGCCATGGAAGCTGCTGATAAAGGGAGAAATATCCAGCGACATCGCCAATTTGCCGCCAATCTCCTCTGCAATTGTCGACCATCTCATTATACACACGCCGTACACACCCACACACACAATTACAAGACAATCTTCATCGTTTTCATTTTTCTGTTTTTTATCATGGTTATATGGAAGATGAGAGTCATGTGTGTGTTTATATATGCAAACTCAATGAACATTGAAATGACGGAAGCTAAGGGATAGTAGACTACGAGCTAAGAGGAGGGGCGTGAAAAGGGTACTTTGGGTTGAATTGGATAAGGTATTCATTACTCCGTATAATTTATAACCAATCTAGGTTATAATTTGGGATTTATAACAAAATGAAGAAGCTAATAAAAGATACCTCCAACATGCTTTTGGCTTTAGGCTTTAATTAATCGTCTTAACTTTAATCCAACAGTTTTTTTTTAAGCATGAAGCTAAAAATGGTTTTTTAATCCAAACACCCCCTATTTTTTTTTTTTCATTTTTTACTACACTCAAAAGCATTTTTTTATCAAACACTTCAAATACCAAAAAATTAAAATGGAACAGACCGGGTGGTCCGACTTGGAACCCGGTCAACCGGCCCTAGAAACTAGAACTATTGGTGGCCCGTCGGAACCTAAAAACCCTTTTTTTATCATCCTTAACCTATAAACCTGGAAACCCGGAAATTTAACTAAAACTAGAAACAAATTAAACTAATTATTATTTTCCCAAAAATTCGGCAGGCAAGGGGATGCAAACACCGGTCATCTATCTGCAAACTAAAACGAAAACCAACTGTGCTATTCCTTGAATATGTTAACAATGCTCTTTAATAGAATACATTACTTCTGTACCATTTTTATACATTACTCCTGTAACATTTTTAGAATACAATGCTATTATTAATTCCTCCGTATTTACTGGTAATCATCATAATAACTATTTTTATGGGTGTATTATAGTTTACTAAAAATTAGAAAAGATTCATAACATATACTATGTATATAGGAATCCTATTTATAATTATTTATATGCATATTATGTTCATATATTTTCGAACTAATTCTAATTACATTTTAAACTTTGTAAAAAAGCTTTTGGCACAATTTTTTTTATTTATTCTTATAAAAATTATTAAATTTTGAATAAATTAAAGGTAAGCTAGTATTGACGCATGTAACTTTAATTTAATGTAATATATAATTATTTTTTACTTTTCACTTAAAATTGATCGGTTTTTTCTGCGTTGATCGGGTTGACCCGTGTGGGTTCGGGTTAACCTCATGACCCAGTCAATTGAATGGGTGCCTTCCCTCTTCGGTGTTTACAACATTGTGACAAGCAGGCTAAGTTGCAAATGGGTCACACTTCACAAATAGGGTGGGACTGTAAACAAGGAATCGGTAAACTGCACCATTATGATTCCATTTGATTCCAACGTATACGTATAATAGTAATTTATTAATAGTTTGATTCCTATTTTTATTAATGGTTCAATTCGCGATTCTTAAACAATATGAATAAGGAACTATTAAAAAACTTTTATAGAATAATAAAATTGTAATCTATTACTTACTTGTATATATTTAATTATTTATTTACTTATTCCCTCTTGTTAGATGTTATCAGATAAATAAAACCGAACACATCTCAACCCTACTTATTTTTCGTAAGATGATAAATAAAACACTTTTTTAATTTTAATTTAAGTTTAATGAAGAATCTCCTTATTCAGGCTTTATTTATCCAAAAATGATCAAATGAATCCGATTTTAAGTTGCAAACTTTACATATCCTTATCGTCCATATATCTTCTTGACCCGATACTAGTCCAGTCAATTGGCTGATTTGTGATCTCAGGTGTGGTGTGGAGAACATGCATTTAGTTATATGCGCCTCTGCAGTAGGTGCCTAATGATGCATTATGGAACAACGATTAAGTGTCTAAAATGAATTAATTGTTTTCTTATAGATGCCAATTATCTTTGTTTAAAAGCATACCTTTGAATAATTTTAGAATTGATAGATATAAGTTATGAAATTAGTCTAATTTGGATACTTTTAATTAAATGAAATAACTCCAAATATTTGAACCAAAATAAAGATAATAGCCAAAATTGTAACATACTCCGTAGTAAATTTTAGTGACTGCATGTGCTTTCAAATCCCATATAGTAGTGACAGTAATAGCATGATTAGCCTTGGTCACATTTTTTCGTAAATTTTATATTAATAATATTTAATAAAAAACTTATTTTAAACTTCAAAAGTTACTTTAGTTAATTAGAGAGAAAACTCTAAAGCTTAGTGCTCAGCTCGAAACATAGTGCAAGTTAATAAGGATTCAAACAAGGCGAAGATAGAATTTTGGAATGTCGCATATATATGGATCTTTTCACTCAAGAGTAATGGAAAATACGTACATTTACATAGGTTCTAATTGTATATTTTGTCTATGTTTTCTTTGAAAACATTTTATATGGGTGAGATCATGTTTTTAAATTATAACTAAATCTTTTAAACATAAAGCATAGAAGACAAATTTCGGTTAAGTTCTAAATTGTTATCATCTCATGCATCAAATTAATTGTTTGGTGAAACATAAAGTTGTGAAGATTATATATATATATATATATATATATATATATATATATATATATATATATATATATATATATATATATAATTTTTACTTTCATGAGAATTGTCTATATTTAATGACCATAAACATTGAACTTAGTTATAATCACAAAGATGCACAATATGTTTAAACCACGAAATTCAAGCTCTCAATGTGCACATTCTACAATGTTTTGTCAGAAAGGCTAATGGAAGGGCAAAAACTGAGTGGATCATTCGCGCATTCGTTGTTACTTACGGTGGTTGTATTTACACTGGTTTGTAATGGACAAATGATCAGTTTCAATGTGGAAAAGGTAATCCCAAAAAACAATAGTAATTTAATAAGCCTATATGAAGAGTAAGATAGACATGGGGTGAATTCACTTTCTCAATTTTTAATCAAAGAATTTGAAAGAATGCTTTTGGTTAATCGAGACTCTTTTGCTACTGGAAAAAATGAGAAAGATATCAATGCAAAACCAGAGGTCAATTTTTCAAGGGATGCTTTCCAGGGTAATCAGTGCTCAATAGGGTTTGATTGTGAAGACGTGTTTTCTGAGAAGATATTATCATATTCAGGAGATGAATTTCTTGGTCATGCTTCAGAAAGCGAGAAGAGAACTCCCATTTCATCGATTCAGGATTTATGGGACTCGGACACCAATCAGGTCGTTTGTCATAAGGCTGACCTAGTCACAAAGGAAAATTGTTTGCCTACACAGAACCTCAACACTCAAATGAAAATTTACAGGAAAAAGCACCAGCGATCACACCATATGAGGACAAGATCCCAATCTCGCATGGACGAACGGGCTTATGAGTCTTGAGGGAACCTACTATTTTATAGGGCTATTTTATAGGGTGTCTTATAATTTAATACTTTGGGCAGGGCATCTGTATTCATTTTTGTTTCTGTTTCTTTTTTCATCTTTTCTTTGTACTCTGTTTTTCTCATTAATAAAAATTTCCTTTTGAAAAAAAAAAAAAAAAAAAAAAAGTAAGATAGACTTAGGAGTGTCCCACTCTTGCAGCAGTACATTGATGGTGCTGTAGATCTCCCCCTAGGAGGAAGCTTCGACGTTGGGTAAGTGACTCCACAAACAATATACTCCACTCATACTAATTAAATTTTGGTGATGTATTATTAACCTTTTGTTTTCTTTAGGATGTATTACACAAAAATTTATCTGGGATCTCCTTCCAAAGAATTTTTAGTCCAGATTGACACCGGAAGTGACGGTCTGTGGGTGAACTGTATATCTTGCAAGGACTGCGAGCACCAATCCATGCTAGAGGTAAAACAAACCATATACTACGTATATGACTATAACTTTAATGTATTACCTGTATCAAAGTTCAAGGACGGAAAAAGTTAAGAATATTAACATACGATTACTTGTTATATGTATCTCCTTATAGGTTCACCCCTCGTTCTTTGACCCATCCACCTCTTCGACGTCGAGTTTCATTCCGTGCTCTGACGACCGAATATGCACAGGAGATGGTTTTGGATGTTCTTCCCAAAACCGCTGCACCTACACTTATCACTACATTGAAGGTTCTTGGGCCCTGGTGGATTATGTGACTGACTTGATCCATTTAGGCAAATATATTGGAACTTCCACTATCAACACTTCTACTCCAATTAATTTTGGGTAAGTCATGTTGAATATAAAATAAAATAGTTGTAAATCTTTTCTGAAAGCTTGATGAACTAAAGTGCCTTTCTTGTTATGACTTGTTTATTTGTTTTACAATGACAGATGTGCAACTCACCGGCAGGGCGCGGAAAGCCGAACTGCAACACTTGATGGTGTACTGGGATTGGGCAATAACCAAATGTCCGCTGTGAACCAATTGGCAGCAAAAGGAGTAATACCCTCTGTATTCTCTCACTGCTTCAAAAGAAGTGGCGGCGGTTCATTTGTTCTTGGACAGGTTGCGCAGCCCAATGTTACTTACACTCCAATGGTGCCCGGGTATGTTTTTATCATATAGAAAAGAAGTGAAGTTACAGGATTAATTTGCACCCACTCATGCACTGATGATGCACGCACTCACCACACTAATCTCAAACTTAATTGATGAGGCTTTTTGCAAACTATTTACTCCTTGTATATGTTGGAGGTATTGGTCCTACCAAGGCCTCCCTTCCACTTTATTTGTTGAGGCTTGCACACTCTATTTTATTCTCCCTTGGATACCTTTTCTTTGGTATATATCCTGATCAAATATATACCTATTTTGAGTAGTTGACTCAATCCACTTGGCTGGCCCCTTCTCTGCTTCCTGTCCGCTGCACTCCTTGTCTATGTATCATGTGAGGCTTTTTTGTATAGCTTCACCCGTGACCCATTTGTCTTGGTCTTACATGTGACTTCCTATCTGTCAGCCAGCCTACTATATAGAAGCCTTGCTTCTCCCTTTGTAGAGCAGCCTGCGTGAGTGAGTATCCTTCCAGAGAGCAGAGCTCCCTTTCTTCCTCCTTTGTGTGAGCATAAGATAGGTCCTTAGTGGAGAGAAAAATATGTGTGTGCTATAGCCTCCTCCTAAGTGGAGTGTGTGAGAGTATGTGTAGAAAGACCTGAGCCGGAGACGGATATACGATCCTTACAGTGGTATCAGAGCCCGGAGCCGCCGTCTGCCGCCGCCGTCCGCCGCCGCCGTCCGCCGCCGACGTCAATTGAAGCTCGCCGGAGGTCGCTGGAGCTGCCTGGTTGTTCGCACGAACTCACTGGCTTTCCACCGTGGCTTCTGCTTGTCGAAATCAGGCTTGTCAGAAGCTCAAGTCGCCGATTGCAGAGGCCCTCGCCGGAAATTGAAGCACCGCCATCGCCCACCTGGTGATTGCAGAGCCGCCGCCGGAGTTTCTAGCTGCCGCCTGAGAATCGCCGACCACAGTCGCTTGCCGCTCGCCTCTTGCCGTCGCTCGCTTCCCGCCGTCGCTACCTGCGATACTTGTGGTTCGCAGAAGGCTTGAGTCTTTTTTTTTCTTGGAAAGCAGAGGGACGAACTGGTATCGAAGAGCATCGATATGCTCTTTGTTTAGTTTGATGGGTTGCTAAAGTGAATTAGGCTTGTGGACTATTGGGCTTCTTTGGGCCTCTGGGCCTGGGCTAGCATTTGTTGCTGTGCTAGAGATGGGCTGAAGCTGCTGGACCTGGACTGGAGCAGTCTGCTGGGCCGCTGGGTTGGTGTTGGACTGCTGGAGCAGGAAGCAGTCAACTGCCGGTCAACCGCCGCCGGTCAACGCCGGTCAACGCCGGTCAACGGCAGTCAATCCTCCCGAAAAATCCCATTTTTAAAAATTTGGGTAGGTAAGGTCGAAACGCTCTCCTAGGGTTTCGCGAAGGTAAGTTTTCTGTAAACTTCTTATTTGTTACATTCCGGCTTTAATTTAATTTAATTTTATTCCCCCTCCCCGCGGGCCGCCGGTTGATTTAATCCCGGCCGCCAACCCCCCAGGTACGTACTAAAACTTTCTCCTTTGTGGTAGACTGTTTTAGTTAATTAATTAAATTGCTAAGTGTTATTTAATTTAATTGTGGTTTATTGGGTGGTAGGGGTAGAATTAATTAAATTTAATTTTTCTGCCTGGAATTGTTTAAATTGCCAAAATGTCCACTTTTTTTGCTATGTGTTGCCTGCTGCCCAGGGTTAATAAAGTGAATACTTTATAACCCGGGTTGGATTATTTTCTGTCATTTCTATCTGTTTAGCTTTGTGTTCCTTTGTGGTTGATACCATGGCTGCGAATCAGTATGGTATGCTCCCATTTAATGGAAAAACAGATTTTGATATTTGGAAACAGAAAATAAAATGTGTTTTAATACAGCAAAAAGTTTTCAGAGCTGTCACTGGTATTTTCCTTGAATCAGAAGATAAGGCTAAGCAAATTGAAATGAACGAAACTGCTTGTTCTACTATTTACTTGAATCTGTCTGATTCTGTGCTTAGGAAAGTGGGTATTCTTGAGTCCGCTAAGGAGTTGTGGGAGAAATTGGATAGTCTCTATACTGATACCTCTTTACCAAGAAAGTTGTTCTTACTAGAGAAATTCTTTAGGTTTAGGCTTGACCTGACTAAGGATATAGATGAGAACCTGGATGTGTTTAATAAACTGATACAGAATATCAAACAGGCAGGTGATAAACACATAGATGATTACACTCCCATAGTATTACTTAATGCCATTCCCGACTCTTATAATGATGTTAAGTCCGCTATTAAGTACGGTAGGGATGAGATTTCATTAGACATTGTGGTGAATGGGTTAAGGAGTAAGGAATTAGACCTGAAGCATGCTAGGGGTAGTGCTAGTCAGTCCAGGGACTCCGGTGAGGCTATGTTTGTTAGGGGTAGATCTAAGGGTAGGTCTAAGAACCCTAAGCAAAATAGTCAGGGTAAGAACGCTAGTCAGCCTGGGAGGAAGAGGAGTAAATCTAGGAAGAGAGTGTGTTACAATTGTGGTAACACTGGCCATTTCATTAAGGATTGCCCCCACCCTAAGAAGACCGAGCATGCTAGTGTAGCTGTTGATAAATGTGACCTTGGTGATATTTTGATGGTTTGTGACCATGCTAATTCTGTGAGAAATTCCCTGTCTGAGCATGAATGGTTGATTGACTCTGGTTGTACCTATCACATGTCCCCCTTTAGAGATTTGTTTTCTACATATGAATTATGTGATAGTGGCTACGTTTCCTTAGCTGATAATAAGAGATGCAATGTGCTTGGTGTTGGTGATATATGTCTGAAGTTTTCTTGTGGCTCTGTGTTTACCATTAAGAATGTGAGGCATGTCCCTGATTTGTGTCATAACTTGTTATCTGTTGCTGCTTTGGAGAGTAGTGGGTTACAGGGAAAATGGGGGAATGGTTGTATGAAAATCCTGAAAAACTCGCTTGTTTTGTTTAAAGCTGAGAAGGTGAATAACCTTTATGTGTGCCATGCTAAACCTTTTGCTGAGTCTGTGAATGTTGTATGTTCTGATAAGACCTCTTTGTGGCATAATAGGCTAGGACATATGAGCAATAAGGGTTTAGATGTCATGCGTAGGGCTGGTTATTTTGGTAAGGACTCTGTGACTTCTGTGCCTTTCTGTGAATCATGTGTGTTAGGCAAGCAGCATAGAGTCAGCTTCCCTCCTTCCTCTTACCCTAATCTGTCTAAGTGTTCGTCTGTGCTTGAATATGTTCATGCCGATGTTTGGGGTCCTGCCAGTGTTCCTACCCACGGGGGTAGGAAATATTTCCTTTCTATCATTGATGATTTCTCTAGGAAGGTGTGGGTTTGCCTTTTAGAACACAAGTCTGATGTGTTTGTGAGGTTTAGGGAGTGGAAAACCCTAGTTGAAAACCAGACTGGCAGGAAGGTTAAGACCCTTAGGACCGATAATGGGTTAGAGTTCTGTAATAAGGAGATGGATAAGTTGTGTGTGGATTGTGGGATAAAAAGGCACAAAACTGTGCCTTATACTCCCCAACAGAATGAGATAGCAGAGAGAATGAATAGGTCTCTATTGGATAAGGTTAGAAGCATGTTAGCTACCTCTGGTTTGTCTAAGAAATTCTGGGGTGAAGCAGTCACTACTGCTGCCTATTTGGTTAATAGGTCCCCGTCTGTCCCTCTTGGTGGTAAGTGTCCTGAAACCGTTTTTACCGGTAAGCCTCTTGATCTGTCTAACCTTCGGGTGTTTGGTTGTGCAGCGTATGCACACCAACAGGGTGACAAGTTGGATCCTAGGTCTAAGAAGTGTGTCTTCCTAGGTTATCCAGAGGGGGTAAAGGGTTACAGGTTATGGGATAGGAACCAGGTAGGCTTTAAAGTGGTCCTTAGCAGAAATGTGGTGTTTAATGAAACTGATTTTCCTTGCTTGACCAAGTCTGTTTCTGATCCTGAGTCTAGGTCTGATAGTACTCCTAGTGAGGTGGAGTCTGTCCCTGTTGCTGCTGGTCCTTTGTCTGTTGATCCTGTTATTACTGATGATATTGTTATGCATGATTCTGATTCCTCTGAGCATGATAGTCCCACCACCTCGAGTGAGGTGGAGCATTTGCATGATACTGAGCATGATTTGCATGATATGGGTGCTGAATCTGATTTTCATGATAACAATAATTTGCATGAGTTGCATGTGGAGCCTAGTAGTGATAATTTGCATGATTATCAACTTGCTAGAGATAGGAGTAGAAGGGCTATCAGGAGAACTGCTGATAGTATGCCTGATTATGCTTTCATTGTGCATGATACTTCTATGTTTGCATTTTCTGTGTTTGAATCCCTAGAGCTGAATGAACCCAAGACCTACCGTGAAGCCTTAGGTTCCAAAGAGTCTCAGAAATGGATTAGTGCCATGAAAAGTGAGATGGACTCTTTGAGAGTGAACCAGACTTGGACCCTTGTACCTAGACCCCCTAACTGTTCGGTAGTTGAGTGTAAGTGGTTGTTTAAGGTTAAGGAAGAACCTAGTGATGTTAGGTTTAAGGCTAGGTTGGTTGCGAAGGGGTTTACTCAAAAAGAGGGGGTAGATTATGCAGAAATCTTTGCTCCTGTTGTTAAATTCACCACTATTCGTATGATGCTTGCTTTAGTTGCTCACCATGACTGGGAAATGAAACAGATGGATGTAACTACTGCATTTTTGCATGGTGAATTGGATAAAACAATTTATATGACCCAGCCTGAGGGCTTTGTGGATCCCAAGAGAAGTGAGCATGTCTGTTTGCTTAGGAAGGCATTGTATGGCCTGAAGCAATCCCCTAGGCAGTGGAACATCAAATTTGATAAATGCATGATATCTTTGAAGTTCCAAAAATCTGTTTGTGATCATTGCCTGTATTTCAAAAATACTTCTTCTGTGCCTGTATTTTTGTTACTCTATGTGGATGACATGCTGATAATTAGTCCTTCTCTGAATGCTATTAAAGATGTGCAGAAATGTCTTTGTGCGAATTTTGCCATGAAAGACCTAGGTGATGCCAAGAGGATCCTAGGCATAAACATTGTTAGGGATAGGAGTAAGCGTACTCTTACTTTGAATCAGATTTCTTACATAGAAAAAGTTTTGAGTAAATTCAATATGTTGTCTGCTTCTCCTGTTAATGTCCCTATGGCATCTCACTTTGTGTTAAGTAAGGACCAGTCTCCCAAGACTGCTCCTGAAATTGAGAAAATGAAATCTGTGCCTTATTCCAGCGCAATAGGGTCGGTGATGTATCTTATGGTTAGCACTAGACCTGATATTGCATATGCGGTTAGTTGCTTGAGTAGATATATGTCCAACCCTGGTTTGCCCCATTGGAATGCTCTTAAGTGGTTGCTTAGATATCTGATTTCTACTGTGAAGCATGGATTAATTTTCTCTAAGTGTGCTAGTGGTATTGATTTGATTGGTTATGTTGATTCTAACTATGCAAATGATAGAGATAACAGGAAGTCGACCACTTCTTATGTTTTTACTTTGTGTGGCTCTTGCATTAGTTGGAAGTCTCAACTACAGCCTATTGTGGCCCTTTCTACCACTGAGTCCGAGTATGTTGCAGCCACAGAAGCGTTTAAGGAAGCCATCTGGCTCAAACGCCTTGTCTCCGAAATTGGGTTTCTCAAAAAGGGAGTTACCATTTTCTCGGATAGCCAATCGGCTATCCAACTTTGCAAAAATCCTGTATTTCATGATAGAACTAAGCATATTGATGTTAGGTTCCATTTCATACGTGATATTGTTGATGCAGGTGGAGTCAAGCTGTGCAAGATCCCGTCCGAGTTTAACCCCGCGGATATGGGTACCAAGTGTCTTTCTGCTGAGAAGCACTTGTCCTGTAAACGCGTGTTAAACTTTGATTGTGGATAACTGTGGGTTGCCTAATAAAGTGTTTGCCCGTTGTGTCTGTTGATATTCCGGGTGACCCGGCGATGATGAGTCTTGTCACAACTTTGTTTTGTTACTCTACACCACCTAGGACCAATAAGGTGGAGAATGTTGGAGGTATTGGTCCTACCAAGGCCTCCCTTCCACTTTATTTGTTGAGGCTTGCACACTCTATTTTATTCTCCCTTGGATACCTTTTCTTTGGTATATATCCTGATCAAATATATACCTATTTTGAGTAGTTGACTCAATCCACTTGGCTGGCCCCTTCTCTGCTTCCTGTCCGCTGCACTCCTTGTCTATGTATCATGTGAGGCTTTTTTGTATAGCTTCACCCGTGACCCATTTGTCTTGGTCTTACATGTGACTTCCTATCTGTCAGCCAGCCTACTATATAGAAGCCTTGCTTCTCCCTTTGTTGAGCAGCCTGCGTGAGTGAGTATCCTTCCAGAGAGCAGAGCTCCCTTTCTTCCTCCTTTGTGTGAGCATAAGATAGGTCCTTAGTGGAGAGAAAAATATGTGTGTGCTATAGCCTCCTCCTAAGTGGAGTGTGTGAGAGTATGTGTAGAAAGACTTGAGCCGGAGACGGATATACGATCCTTACAGTATATAAGTTTATCTGTCTCATTATCTTTTTCACGTAGTTTAAAATAATTAATATACATTTTATAAAAAGTAGGATGCATATAATGCATATGTTTTTTTTATGAGCAGTTGAGCACACATAAACACACGCACATTACTGACATTAGAAATCATGATTCCTTAGAAATGTATGGATGTAATTTCTCTAAAATCTGCTATATAATTAACGTGCTTCAATTCAAATTGTCAGTGCAAATTACCGTGTGGAGCTCCAGAGTATTTATATTAATGAGCAACCAGTACCCATTGATCCCCAAGTATTTGGTACAAGCAATGGAGGAACTCTAATAGACTCTGGAACCACTATGGGTTACATTGTGATGGAGGCATATGATCCTTTTGTTAATGCGGTAAGTTAATATTTACTGTAAATATATTATTAGTGTTATGAATGAACAGTATATTGACTATTGTTCTTGTCACATACTTAATGTTATGAATGAAGAGTATATTGACTAATGACTATTATTCTTGTCACATATGTAGATCAACCAAGTTGTGTCAAGTAATGTGTATATCTATAATGGCGAGGGTAGGCAATGTTATGCCTCCTCATCTAGGTACTCCTCTTCGAGTTCTCTTTTACATCTATTTATTTAGATATGTTGGTCATTTAATTTGATTAATTTTTTGTGTTTATATTTTTTGGTCAATCTCACGTGTTTTTGCATGGATGTAGTGTTTTTACCATTTTTCCATCTATCCGTTTAAATTTTGCTGGGGGTGCATCAATGGTTCTCCAGCCTATAGACTACCTTATACATGAAGATTCGGTGGTAAGTTGTGTGATCATTTTCAATATCTGAAATAATATGTTCTACACTTTAGTTTGAGGTGTGATCTTATAGGGTGGATTGGTGGAAAAGTATTTTAGTTTCCTGGCCAGCTATATGTATTTTGGTTATGGGTGTTGATTTTAATGAAGTGCGTAATTGTATGTGGTGCTTTAATAGGATGGAACGAGTCACTGGTGCTTGGGGTTTTCTAAATCTGAGAAAAAGTCTGTCTTAGGAGGTAAATATTAAGTGTTATGTACCATATGTAATGCATTTTCATTTATTTCCCTTTCACAATAATGTTTTTTTTTGTTTATTATTACTCCGTATGTTATATTTATTGATTCACTTATTTATTTAATAATGAATTATAATTTACAGATCTTCTGCTCAAAGATAAGATCGTTGTTTAGAGCATCTCCAATGGTGCTCTTTGGAGTGAAGATAAATTTTGCCAAATGTCAATTAATTAAAACAATGTTTGTCCACATAAGATGAACATCAAAAGAAATAAATAAGAGATGTCCAATGCATGATGTTATCTATTAAATATTATCTAGTTGTCATTTAATATTAAAACACCCGTTAACTATATACAATCCCTTGAAGCCATAAACCTATATAAATACACCATCGAATCCTGGGAAGCCAATTTCGACTCCACGGCACAAGAATCCCCTGCAACAAAAAAACAATTGGAGGAAGTTTCAGGTTCATCCGAGTAGGAAACGTTTGGTTCTGCCAAACAAAAGTAAAATATCTACATGAGTTTAGTACGTGTTTCAAAATTACAGAAGAAAGTGTTGTCAATAATATTCTTTTCTCAACTACAGATGATTTAGGAAGCAAGCAAGCATGAGATTATACACTTGGGGGAAATCGACACTGATAGAAGAAGATTTGAATTTGTGAATGAGGCGGCGAATAATATATACACGAATGATTATGTTTGGGCAAAAAAAATTGGCCGGAACTTTTTCTAGAGATGAGCGCGAATGCAAATTGACTTCGAATTGTGCGTAAATGGACCTTCACAGCGTGAAGCGTGCTTTCAGAAAACCAACAGCGAGATTGAAAGTATTGGGTACACGTCAGATTAAAAGGAATGGTAAAAGAGTGGGTTGGAGATATAAAAAACTATCAAACCTTTTAAATTGATGATGTGGCAAATTTTTTTGACATCCAAAGAGCAACATTGGAGATGCTCTTACGATTTAACTAACCAACGGATTGGATGGACCGGATACGACTGTAAGTCTATGTTCAAATAGTTGATAAGAAAATTCTTTAAAACATACATAAGCAAAGCCCACATATAGAACTAATTGATTGACATTGTTTTATCTTAAATTAGGACCTTCATTCTTAATAGGAGAAGTTATATACTCTTATTAGAATCAAATACGTCTTATTTTGGGAATAAAGCACATGTAATCCTATTTGTGCATTTTGTCTAAGTTTTAGTCTTATTTAGAGCAATTTCTAACGATTTCCCAAATAGGACTAAATAGAATAATTTCTAACTATTATGTTGTCTTAAGAATTCTATAAATAAGACTAAAATATAAACAAAGAACGCAAATGGAATCCCCAATGTTTCTTCTTAAAATATGACTCATTCCCTCCTATTAAGTCCTATTTTGAAGATAAAACATGACAATTCTATGAACATTGTCTATATTTTAGTCATATTTAGAGTGATTTCTTATATCACCTAAGCTTCATACATTTCTAAATGGCAGGTTCTCAACCAATCGATGTATCAATCAGCAAGCCCAGCAGAACTAAGAGGCAACACCCTTCACGCCATTTCCACTGGACAATAATACTGCTATTTGTTGTATTATCAATTTTACTCTTCTTGCTTTTAGTACTGGCAGTACTGGCTTGCTTAAATTATGTACAGCAAAACATGTTGGGGTAAATATGACCGTGTCAATCTTTCCTTTGTTAGCATGATTAGTCAATAATTGTTGCGTAGTATTTCAATTTGTAACATATTTACTACTCCCAGGCTTTAGCAGTGGGTTATTCTTTGGAAAAATATGACATTTAATATTTCGTTCCTAGGGTAGTCATCTAAAGAACGACAATAGTAAAAAGTTGAGCATTAAAAGACCAATATGGCCTTCAAAACGGGCATTATCAGGCTTCACTAGTCAAAAAATGTCAAAAGGAGGCGCTTTTAAATGGAATGACGTGCCAAAAATAAATGCCTCAATTTAATATAACTAGTAAATCACCCATGCGATGCACGGTCGATGAATTTCTAACCAATTTTTTCTTTCTTAAAATTGTTTTCACTACCATAAGGCCAAAAAGATTTGTTGATGATAAAACCAACAATTCGGTATATAGTTACCAAGAAAGTAATCAATTCACGATTTATGAAAGATTAAACATAGAAATATAATACCAAACAGAACCAAAATAATTACGCAAAGAACTGCAGGCATGCGTTACAAACGGAAACACGACTAAAAATCATTCCGAAAATCAAACACTGATTTGCTTCGGTGATGAAAATGATGTCATCCGAACTGACACAATATAACAAAATATATTTTTACTATTAAATACAGAATGCTATTTACAAACAGCACAATAATATTAATTAAATAAATAAATATTCCAAACGTATTTAAAAAGTTGATGTATATGAAATTAATTTTTTAAAACCCAAAAGAATGAAGCCCAATTAAATTCAGCAGCAACACCCCAACCCATTTATACCCCAATCCATTTATTCTGGCGGCCCAAAATCAGAATAATCCCAGCCCAATCAACCCAAGCCTTATACTCCATATTCCTCAGAACCCCTCATTTCCAGTCACAAATCATCCTAAAATTCCGCCGACACGCAGACCTCCGTCTTCTCTCTCTAACGAACCAAGCAGAGCGGAAAAAATACCCACCGGCCATGGCAGTGACCGCCAAAACTCATAAATAAAACTCCGGCCAGAATGAAAAACATCGATTCCTCAACTAGTAAACCTGAATCCACACCATAAACCACCTCTCCACACACAGAGATGGAGACAGAGATGGAACGACAGACATTTCGTACTCCGCCTCTATCACTAACGATGACGCTTAGGAGACGTCAAAGGCACTGCAGCAAAGACCCCAACCGCCACTGTAACACCCCGGGCCCCGTGGGACCCGAGGTAGTTACTCCAGACCTCTAGTACTGTCCTCACAAACCGCCACTAGCCTTTGCCGCGTACTTTGTCCTCACTCGTGCGCGCCCTGAGAAACTTCCCAGGGGGTCACCCATCCCAGGACTACTCCCGTGCAAGCACGCTTAACTTTGGAGTTCTTGATGATGAGCTCCCTTAAAAGGAGATGCATCTTGTTGGTATGAGTAGTACTATTAATCCATTTATATTAAATCTCAAGTGTTACAATCAACCCCACTTAGAATCGCAACGTCCTCGTTGCGCCGTTAAACCAATCTCAGTCAATCCCAGAATCTTTTTCCCCTGCTAAGTGTCTACCCGATATCCAACGGATCAGCACACTGTCGCAGGGTTGATCTGATACCACATGTAACACCCCGGCCCCGTGGGACCCGAGGTAGTTACTCCAGACCTCTAGTACTGTCCTCACAAACCGCCACTAGCCTTTTCCGCGCACTTTGTCCTCGCTCGTGCGCGCCCTGAGAAACTTCCGAGGGGGTCACCCATCCCAGGACTACTCCCGTGCAAGCACGCTTAACTTTGGAGTTCTTGGTGATGAGCTCCCTTAAAAATAGATGCATCTTGTTGGTATGAGTAGTACTATTAATCTGTTTATATTAAATCTCAAGTGTTACAGCCATCAGCCACAACCAACGGCGATGGATCTTCACCGTTCAATGCCAGGCTTCACAGGTAACTTTCTTCTTCCCACAACACACCGACCACAAACCTTACCCCCGACCCTTCACATGCACGAACACAACACGACTCCCTCGAAGCTTCTGAAACTCACAACAATATGAACACCCATTTATTAGCGAAAAAACTCAAAATGGGTTTTATAGTCAATTTTATTGCTATAAAACAGTCAATTTATGAGATCCAAACACGCCCTTAGGCAATTTTATGAGATCCTTACACCGTGTTAAACACTCAATTTTATTTATTATTGAAATAACAACACGATGTTACAAATGTTCGTAGTATTATAATAGATATCTATTATGTGAGCTGGCAAAGTGAATATTATGTACAAAAGTTTTGATGTATTACATATAATTAAAACTATTACAGGAATTTACAATTTATTAAAATTAAAACTATTACAGGACGTATACAGGACGTAATTACAATTATAATTTACATATAATTAAAACCATTACAATTAAAACTATTACACGACGTATTATTAAAACTTTTGAGTAATGCGTCAATGTATTACGCCAAAACACGAGGTTACAATTGTTACAAAAGTTTTGTACGTATTACATATCCCAATGGTTACTGCCCATACGGTTTGCAAAAATACTTTGTTTGTACGTAGTATCACTGATACACGTGTAATTTCCGTGTTTATGTTTGCATTTTTAGTTACTTTTTGTTGTTTAGCATTTCGGAAATTACACACTTTCGGTGTAATAGTTTAATTTGTTAAAATCTTGTAAAATGTTTAGATTAGGTTTATTCTGAGCTCAAACAGGTCTACCATCACTCAAAGGACAATTGGTGAACCCCAAAAGTGGAAGGAAGGTGCAAAATCACAAGACAAAAAGGGAAAATCCTGATTTTGGTCTATACTCGGTCGAGTATCACCTATACTCGATCGGGTATCTGGTTGAAATTTCAAATCGGATCGGATCCGAAAACAAAGGAACATGCAGGAGAAGATTTTCCCACGATCAAGTGTCTATACCCGATCGGGTACACCGACATACTCGATCGGGTATAGCTATGAATTTTACTCGAATCTCGATCGAGTATGGACCGAATTTGAGTTTCTACACATACTCGATCGAGTATATGTATATACTCGATCGAGTACCCGACCTGCACCTCAAAAAGCCTATAAATACACCTCGTTTCCTTCACTTTTAGACACCAATTCCTTTATACTCTTAAGCTCAGTTTAGAATAGCATTTCTCTATATTTCTTTTAGCATGTTTAGTCTCCAAATGAGGAGCTAAACTTCCATTTCTTGGTTTGGCTCTTGAAGCTTGTTGATTATTAAAGTTGTGAGTTATTTTCTTACTTTCTCCTCTTGATTATTAATTCTTCCCTTAATCTCATTCTATATTAATATTGGAGGGTGGCTAAGTGACGATTAGTTAACGTTCCGACATTGATTATTACTAGAAACGATCAACGAACCGATGGTTAAACGTTGATGGTTTCACAAGTAAGTAACTTCGGTTTATTAGTGCACAGTCGTGGTTAATAAACTTAAGAGGGATTAATTTTGTTGGTTAAACCGAAACCGTTGTGTTGAGGTTATCAATCTTAATTGATTTCATCAAAGAGTTAAAGAGGTTAAATGCTACTATTATATCGGTATACGGCGTTGTTCTATATTTGATAAATAGTAAGGGTTATTAATGAACGGTCGTTGTTAATAACTACCCTCGATGAATTGGAGATACTCCGCGATTGAGTATTCGAGAGGGGATAAGTTATAGATATAACAATGATCGACTAAAATATATAAACAAGTGGAAAGTAGCAAGACCAAGTCCCTTTTATTCTCGAATTTAATCCCATATAACTCGTTCATCTTCGTGTTTAATTTAATTAAATCACTCAACAATCAAAACTCCCCTTTATTTAAAAAGAAAGTTATTCCTTTCCCCGTGGACACGAACTCTACTTCACCTATACTACATATAAGTGTTAGTATCGATTTATTTTGAGTGTACGCACGACAAAGTGCACGTCAAATTTGGCGCCGTTGCCGGGGAAAGGCAATTAATTTTTCTTTTTATTTTATTTTAAGAAAAAGAAAAAAATAGGGTTCAAGTATAAAGATTTCTATTTCTTCTGAGCTTTGTAGTACATGGTAAAATATCGTTCACTGAACGAAATCACATACCACTCAAACCCCGAAATAGAACGAACTCTCGAGCGGTTGAAAAACAAATTTTCAAACTCCGACTCGAGAGAATCATCAAGCGCTAGTTCTCAATCTAGCGAAACCGAAGAGCCAATCACTATGGCTCATGAAACGAGAACATTGAGGGAGGTCACGGCTCCGAATCTAAATCAACAACCCCTATGTATCACTTTTCCAACTCTTGATACGGGGGTCACATTTGAGCTAAAATCTGGGCTCATTCATCTACTTCCCTCTTTCCATGGCCTACGGGGGGAAGATCCGAACAAACATCTGTCGGAATTCCATATTGTGTGCACAAGCATGTGCCCCAATGGCGTATCCGAGGAACAAATCAAGCTAAGGGCTTTTCCTTTCTCTCTAAAAGACACTGCGAAGGATTGGCTTTTCTATCTTCCTTCGGGTAGCATTAACACATGGGCTCAAATGAAAAAGAGCTTCCTCGACAGGTACTATCCCGCATCTATCTCTTCAAGTCTTAAAAAGCAAATTAGCAACATTGAGAAAGCAGATGATGAGACCTTGTACAAATATTGGGAGCGCTTTTGTAACACCCCCAAATTTCCCACCCAAAAACACTTTAAAATAATACTTTATTATTAATTTTATTCGAAAGCATCAGAGTTATGCAGCGGAAAATTCAAAAGGGAATAGGGGCGTTACCGCCACACTCAGTTGTCCCTTACTAATTGTATTTACAAATGAGCCAAATCTCAAATGCCGTGAGTAGTCTTGAAGCTAAGGATTCGGCAAAACTCCCATCTCAAACGGAGCCGAATCCAAGGCAACAAGCTCACGCGGTCACTTTGAGAAGTGGCAAAGAATTGGTTATGGCTAAGGCAAAAGCAAAGAGCCATGTTGGAGAGGAAGAGGAGGATATCTTGGTGCCAAGCACAAATCCTCAAAATGAAGAGGAGAAGGAGGAGGAAATCACACCTCAAAGAAAGTTTCCACCACTCGATTCATACGAGCCGGTGCCACCTTTTCCGGAGG